GCAACCTTTAGTGAGGGCATGTGATAGTTTACCTTGTGTTCAGCCCAGCATCCAGCCGCAGTGGCTGCTCACCCAAACTAGCACCCACAGAGAGGCTAATGTGTCCTGCCAGCCCTTTTCATAGTCTGATAACTGCCAGCTTTTTCCAGGAGCTCCTACACCATCTGAAATGGCCCTTGGTGACATGAAAGAATTCATCACTTTCAATGTCAGCTGGTATTTAGACTTCAAGAGCAAGTTTATCTTGCCTCTGTGAGTCCCCCTGCTCTCCCCAAACCCATCCCTACATGTCAAAAGTCCTAAAAATATCCCAGGGTCCTACTCTAATGCCACTACCTTCTCAGACCTGACTGGTATCTCATCTTTCTCTAAATCACAATTTCTCAATTTAATTTCTCACTCATCATGTTCTCTCTTATACTGTAGGCATTTATTTTGTTTTATGTCCTATATCCTGTATTACTTGGTGTTAAGGTTTATAGCTCCTCAAAACCCCATGCATTCCTAGGTGGGGGTCTTGAGAGGTGACTGGATCACAGGAGTGTGATACTCATTCTTCCACTGAAGAGTTTATAGCTGAATGTGATGTTGGGAGTGAGGCCAAGTCTGAGAAGGTGGGTCATTGGAGGTGTGGCCTGGAAAGGTCTATCCTCCTCTCTCCTCCCTCGATCTCTCTCTGCTTCCTCCTGCCAGGCCTGCTGCCACGCCTCCTCACCCATGGCCCTCTGCCATGCCATCCTGACTTGGACTCAAACCTCTATAAACTGTGAGCCAAAATAAACCTTTTCTCCCTTCTTAAATTGTGAGTGTCATGTATTAAGGTGTGGGTGTTGGGTATTTTGTTTCAGCAATGAAGAAAGTAGCTAAGATATTTTGTATACTGAAACTCTTTGAAAACAGGAGTTAAGTCTTCCTTAGCACATAATAGCCAATCGGAAAGAATATCTGCTAAATAACTTCAGTGGCTGCTGAATGCCAGGCACCAATCTAGGTAATGGGAATACAAAGATGCATTATCTGTGCATGAACCTCATTTGCAAAGAAACCTGGTCTCATGTAGGGAGATAGAGCCATAAAAAGATGATGCAGAGACCGGGTATATTGCTCAGTGCTAGAGTGCTTGCCTAGCATGCTCAAGGCTCTGGGTTTGATCCTGGGAGGAGAGGGGGTATAGAAATATATGCAGAACAGGTGGCATAAAAGAAGTCCTGAGCTCCAGTCAGACACTTCAGAATTCAAGTCCTGGCTCTGTCCTTCATAGTTGTGACATTAGTAGTTACTTGTCTTTTCTGGGCTTTAGTGAGAATAAGATAGTACCTCTTTCATAGGGTTGTTGATGTACTTCAGGCCCCTGGACAGGTGGTAGGCACATCTTGTCATAGTGATGTAATACAGGTCAGCAAGCAGGGAAAGCTTTGTATTCAGGAGCAGTCTGATCTGAGTTTCTGAATAAGAGTTTCTCAGGTAGACAAGAAATAAGGACTTTACAGACAGAGGAAACTGGATGAATAAGCAGATCACATATCATCCAAAGACAAGCTTAAAAAAATACAGGCTTCACCACTTGCAGTTTGTCCTTTTTTTTTTTTTTTTTTTCTTGCAGTTTGTCCTTTTTTTTTTTTTTTTTTGGTACCAGGGATCAAACTTGGGACCTTGCACTTATTGAGGCAGGCGGCAGAACCACTGAGCTAAATCCCCAGCCTAGTTTGTCCTTCTTAACACAGGCACCAAAACATTCACTAGGTTTCAAGACACAGTTTTTACTCAAAAGGGGAGAAAATCAGAATGGAATGCCCTTGGAGAGAGGAAGATGGCAGTAATCATGTAGCCTTCTCTTCAGACTACTACAGGCTTTGGCCTCTGCCTGGGGTGCACAGCCTCAAGACAGGGCACCAGGTTTAGGAGGGCAGAAGACTCTTTGCTGAAGGAAAAAGAATTTACTTACCTGGTGTGACCATTAACAGTAATATAAAGAAGCTTTATTCAGAAGCTCCTACTGCTCTGTCCTCAAAGAAAACTTGTTTTGTTCGGATGGATTAGTCTCTTAGATAAATATTAGGCATTTCCTTTCACAACAGTTTAGGGAGATGCAGATCCAACATTAATCATTCTGTCTTCCCCCTCCATGTTGTACCATCTAAGGTACCCTCTGCTCTTGGAGAAGTGCAGGGGAGTGTGAGCAGCCAGGGAGAGAGAGGGGAGAGGTGGGTGTGTAACTGTGTAACTGTAACAGGAACCTACAGGCTGGGCCTGCAGGTGCCCAGTGTGTAACTAAAGCAAGACAAAGCCTGAGCCTGGCATCTCTGCCTGCATTTTATGTCTCCTTTATTACTTTCAAACTTTAGATCAGACCCTTCTCAGCTCTGCACTAGGCATGTTAATCACTTTAGGAGTGTCTGTATTATAAGGTTTATTAGCCCTAAATTTATCCCACTCCCTTTCAAGACTGAGGACACAAGAAAAGAGTAAAGTAATTTTTAGGATTTGTGGGGACATCCAATTGCTAGTCCTGTTCCAGGTAACTTGGAGCATTGCCTAGAAGTCTCTAGTCGTTGTCCTAATCCTGCAGTCACCCAGATTCAGAAAAAGCAGAGCCTTGCAGACAACCCCATGTTGTCACCTGTTACTCCATGAGAGGAACTAATGCTGCCCTCTGAGCAAGAACAATCGTCTCCAAATCTATACTAATTAAAAAATAATAATAATGAAGGGGGAAAAAGAGAACAGTCATCTCATGACAAGCCCTGAGAAAATGATAAAGCAGACCATGGCTTGACCAGGATTACCTATGCTACCAGCTATGTAAACCCCCAACCCTTGCTTTTTTTATTTTCCCCTGACACTGAGGAATGAATCCAGGATCTTCACAGGAGCTACATCTCTAGCTCTTTTTCTTTTCTGAAATATGGCCTTACTAAGTCACTAAATTGCCCAAATCGGGCTCAAACTTGGAATCTTCCTTCCTCACCTTCCCTCAGTGCTGGGATTACAGACCTGTGCTACCGCATCCAACTTGTCCCTTTTCTGTAAAATCCTGAAGTGTCTGCCAACTCCTCAAAAATAGATTTTGAACTGTTTTATCAGTGTTTCCCGCCATGGCCATCCTGATAAAAGCTCCTTTCCTGCCCCTCACCACTGCTCATCTCCTTGGTTGGTCTTATGAACAAATGGCACAATGTGATCTGTTGGGCTTTTGCCTCGTAACTCCAGGAACATAATACTAGAATTCCAGGGGCCCTGCTGCCAGGTGCTTATAGCCAGGCATGCTTATGTAAACTGGGGGGAATCTCACCAGCCAGCTTCCTTCATGGGCTGGAGAGCTTTGGAGGCTAGTGATAACTTTAAAGGTAAATTTTTGGTGCCTTTAAGGTGAATGCTGAACAGTGGCACTCAAAGTAGGAGGGCATGGCTATGGAATTTCTTCCAGCAAGGGCACTCAAAAGAACTGTGAATTCTAGGCCAGGGTTTAGCTCAGTGGTTCTGCTGCCTGCCTCGCAAGTGGAAGGACTTGAGTTTGATCCCTGGTACCAAAAAAAAAGAACTGTGAATTCTGAATTTACTTCCCAAACTAGCAGCCCCCATTTTCCTCTGGTGCTTCAGAGAACAAGATTTGCAAGAAAACCAGAAAGCAGAGGTAGGTAAGCACCCAGAACCAGAGCAGGTAGTAACAAGACTCAGTCCTTGGATTTATTCTCCATGTCCACCTCCACTCCTTCCTTATGCCAGCTCCCTGCCTGCCCTCTTCCTTCTTGGCTCCTACTCCCAAAGAGACATGAATGAAAACAAAATGGCCAGAAAACAGGGTAGAAAGTGAATCAGGCAGGCAGTTCTTATTCTGTGTACACTGGACCATTTATGTGGGCTTTTGGAGTTCCTTAGAATAACCTTGGCTGAGGGGTGTGGCACTGCACTCTGCATGGATGGATGGATGGATTGATCAGCAGACCAAGAAATCACAGGCTGTGCGTGTCAGATCTATTTAACTCATATGAACTGTGAACCAGCGGGAGGCTGAGACCTGCTTCTGGGTGAAGCTCAAGATCCAAAATCAGGGAAGACACTGAGAAACAGAGCTCAGGTTCTTTACCCTGGATCATGTGCAAAAAATCATTACCCATTACGCACCCATGTTCTGCAGTTTTTCTCCCTGTGGCATGGAGATGGAGAGGTTGGGGGGGCAGCCTATTGCTGCTCTAGTCTCCAGATGATTAATACTTTGGAAGAAGCAGCTGCCTGCTTCCTTTGTTGTTTGTTTTTGTTTTTTTTTTGTACCAGGGATTGAATTCAGGACCTTGCACTTGCAAGGCAGGTATGGTGCCACTGAGCTAAATCCCGATCCTGTTTTTCCCTTCTTGTCATGTGACAGATACTCCTTTTTAACTCTATTCCCTATCTGTCCATGGGCAAGGTCTCCAGGGGAACAGAACTAAGAATGTCTTCAGAAAGAGCTCAGGCCATCCCAATCAAGGACCTTGTGCTTGCCAGGCAGTTGCGGTCTTTATACATTATGTACTAATGGCGCAAACAATCTTTTGCTTAACATCATGTAGATAATATGGGGATGAAGGATTCAAGTTGCTGAGTTTAGAGCTCCCTGACTTTCTTCCTGCACAGGTCTATCCTTAGGTCCTAGCCAGACACTTATGTTGGATGCCCTCTAAATCCTGGTCTTCTCTATCTCCCCAAGTCCCAAACCACTGTTGTCTCTCTCATTAAGCTCCACAGGAGTATCTTGTTCAGCACAGGGACTGAAATTATGCTGTCTACACAAGCAGTGAAGACAAGTAATGAATATTTGTTAAACAACCGGTTGAATCCCAGCAGCTAAGTCTTCAGTGGGAACATCCACCTATCAGTTCAGAGGAACTGGTGTAATGAAGAGGAAGAGGGGTGTCTTTGGCCTCCACTCCCACCCCAGGTACAGGGGTACAGACTGCACACCTCTGGGTCCCAACCCTCCTTGCCCAGATGAAAAACTGGACTCAGGGGAGCAAGCAGAGTAAGGTACTAACATTTTTAATACAGTCTGATCAGTCAGTTCACATCACAAGGTCAACCTGGGTTTGCTCACATGGGCCACAACCAAGATACACAATTTCCCTACCTGCTGGTTCTCTCAACTTTCTGGCTCCCAAGAGCACTGAAACTCCCTACCTTCCTGACCAGACTGGTATTTTTTAAAATTTTGCATAAAACTATTTCTTCCATATACTTCAAACAATCAACTAGCCAAGTTAATTATGGTACACCTAAACAAAGTTTAATACTAACCCTAATGTGTGACTGCGGTTTACAAAGAGCTCTGTATCACCTGGATAGCTTTCAGTAGCAATTCACTACAACTGGTCCTAAAAAATAATAACAATAATAATAATAATTAGAGAATTAAAACCCAACAGCAAGTTGAATGGTTAAAATCATGAAAAAACTGGAATTTGGGGTGGAGGGATCCTCAATAGCTGAACTGGTCCTAGAAGCAAAATGTCAGCTTCCACCAGGGCTCAGGAAGTTCTGGGACTTTCCAGGCCAGGCGGGGGGCTAAGCTCAGAGGGACTCTTGAGGAACCTCACCCCATGGTCCATGGATTGCTGTAGGCTTCCGATTTCCTTAAAAACTGTTGGCCATTGAGGTTGTGTGAGTGGGTAGAGACTCTACCTTGATTTCTTTTGAGGGATACAGGATGGGGGAATGAGGAATTAGAGAAGTGGGAGGGGACCAAAATCAATGAGGTCCAAGAATACCACAGGGTTTGGGAGAGAAGTCACTAAGAATTGAGCACCAGGATTTCCGGCTCCTATCCATTAGAGAAACCAGAACTGGTGTTGCCTTCGAGGCGTATGTAGTGTTTTCTGCCCTTGTCCCATACTGGATCTTGCAGGTATTTCTGCAGAGTATCAGATGAGATCTATTTCTAAAAACCATTGGAGGAATGGGTAGTGGATAGGGTGTAGGGTTCGGGTTGGGGAGAGTTTAAAATGAATAAAAATCTCTCAGCTACAGAACCCAAAGACATCACATCTCTCCGCATTCACAGCATTTCTTGGCAGTCCCCAGATGGCTGTTTCTGTGGGGATGCAGCATTTACCTCATTTCCCCTCAGGCCCCATGGGCTGCTGGTCCACCTCAGGATCTACTAAAGATGATGCAAACGCCGACTGAACAATCTGAAACCCAAATGACTCAAGGAGTGACATGTTCTGCTGAGGGGAGAAAGGTGAGCCAAGAGCAGGGCCCAGGTCTCCTAGGGAACCTCCAAGGGACCGGACATGCACCTTCTGGATGTGTTTGTTCAAGTAGGACTTAGAGCGGAAAAAGCTTCCACATTCAGGGCATGGGTACTTCTTCTCCCCATCAGACTCCATTTTGTTTTTAGGGACTGCCATGTCACAGGAGAAAGAGCCATTGGTGCTCTGCTTCTCTGGTGTCTTCAGGTCACTGGCATCTGAGAGGTCACCATAGGAGTCGGAGCTCTCAATCGGATCCTGATGTGAGCATTTCTGGCCTTCTATGAAAAAACAAAACACAGGAAAGAGATGAGGCTAAGGCTTTGGAGATGCCCCCTCTTGGAGGGGTCATGAGAGGCCAATTCACAGGCCTATGGAGGGCAGCAGTGGTAAGCCATTACCCTGGCAGAACCCACAGAGGTTCAGCTGATCAGTCCAGGAGCCTGGAGTGCCTATGGGGGTGAGACAGCAAGATCCTGGGGCCACCAGCCTCCTTGCTGTGAACTCTTCATGCATGTGCACATGTATAACTCACCATATCTCAGCCTGCTTCAAGGAAGGGATATAGAGAGGGGACCTCTACTGCTTCCGCCCAGAATAACTCGAAGACCCCCCCAACTCTCTTGGGTGCTTCTAAGGGTACAACAATTCTTGTGAGGATGCTGAGCAGGTATACCAGTGGCCTTGTCTCGTGCACCAGACTAACTGTAATCCTTGCAAGATAGGCAGAACCAGAACTGTGAGGTCCTCCACCCAGCTAGACCCCATCCATGGCTCAGACAAAAAAACCAGCCCAAACACAAAGCCTTTATCACCTTTCTTTTGCCAAAACTCTTCCAGGACCATGCAGCCAAAGCATACAGATTAAAACCACTCTAAACAACTCAGTCAGCTGGGTGTCCCCACCCAGGGCCCAGGAAAAGCTAGGCCAAAAGATAATCCTCACTGCTTCGCCTTGCCTGGCCCACACTAGAGTCCTCTACCAACTAGCAGTTTCCCACCTGAGTCCAGAGCCATGCTGGGATTGGAGGTCTGTGATGGGAGCATGGAGCATGCCATCTTTGCCATCTGCCAAGCCCTGGCCTCATCCTGAGGCAGCAACAACAACATGACACACCACAAAACAACCTGAATCAACAAGCAAAGGTGGGCCTGGGGAACTCTCCAAGAGCCAACTTGAGTCAAGTAGCTATTTATTGCCATGCATCTCACAAATGCAGCCAGAGACTCTCTAGAAAGGGCCACACACAGCAACCAACCACCTCTATTGTGAGAGAAACCAGCCTTTGGCTCCCAGCAACCCACAGGTCAACGGAGGGGAAAGCATTCGGCTGCAGCTCCACACCATCCTACAGGGCAGCAGGCAATGGACAGCCCAGAGTGACTAATCATGCAAGGTTCCTCTTCCTGCCCTGGGCCTGGGGCATCCCTGCAAGGCTCAGACGGTGGGGGCTGGCCAGGATGGAGGCAGGAGGACTGGAAAGAGGAGGCAGGGGCTGGATTTCGGCCCTACCCTAAAGCCTCACTCACTGCCCTGGAGTGAGGTACCCACAGTGACATCTCTCCTGGAGGCCACCGCCACTCAGGCCTCCCCACGCCCCGGCCCAGCGCCCCCACAACACAGTCTGCGCAGAAAAGCAAAGTGCAGAGCAAGGGGTCGCTTGCCTTTGTTGCCATAGGTCCTGGCGCAGTGGAACGCTGCTCCCCCATTCGGAATGGGCTCCTGGTGCCTGGAGACCTGGGGAAGGGGAACACCGTGGTGGGTTTTAACATGGACCTTTAAGTAGGAGGCAGAGGAGAAACCTAAACAAGACAAAAGGAGATGAGATCCCACAGCCAGCAAGAGATACCTCTCTGCTTCCCCATGTCTCCTCTGGCCGCTCTGGCTACTATTCCCAAGTCAGCTGCACCTAAAAAAGGACCCTCCTTGGTTCAAAAACAGCACAACCACATGAGCCACATGGGTTGGGATGAAGGTTGGCAATGTCCACAAATCTGCTTCTCTGTAGAGCCCACTCTGCAAGGCTGTATTGAAGGGCCCAGGCTGGATGTCTGGTAGGATGCCCTGAAGTTCTGCTCTGGCTAGGGCCAGAGGCCAACTGCCTCTGGGCTTGCTCAGTACCATAATAACAAGTGGTTTGGAGCCAGATGTGGTGATGCACACCTCTATTTTTAGCAGTCTAGGAGGCTGAGGGAAGATTATAAATTTCAGTCCCACATGGACAACTCAGTGATTAGTGAGACCCCGTCTCAAAATAAAAATGAAATAAAGGGCTGGGGATGTCACTCAGTATGAAGGCCCCAGTACTGGAAAGAGAGAGACAGAGAGAGAGAGAGAGAGAGAGAGAGAGAGAGAGAGGTTTGAATGGATGTTCCACAGTCCCAGGTCAGCTGTAGGACCATGGCTAGAAATGTGGTCACACCAGTCTGTGGGGCTACAGGGAAGCCACAGGCCTCCAGCCAGTAGAATGACTACTTTATAGTTGTTGAAGGGAAACTGGACAATAATCTAGATGAAGGTTAAATGCAATTCCCACAGAATGCCTGCAGGGGTTCCTCTTCTGGTAGTTAGGACATTTTCTGTTTGGCTAACTTTCCTGCCTTCAGAGTAACTGAATTTAGTGACTGCTTAGACCTTTGGAAGAACAACAATAGAAAGTTATCTTAAAGGGGTATAATCACCCACAGTAGCCTTTGTCATCTAGTTTGGAACACCCACCAGGTTCACTTACAGAAAAAAAACCAAGATGATCTGCTTGCTTTTACTGTGAGAAAAGGGCAATCCGGCCACCTTGGAACTGTTTCAGCTTACTCCTAGATGCTTCGGTCAGTTTGAGCCCCAAGATATCTTAGGCTGGGAAGAGCCAATCTTGGGCCAACTTCCACAGCAGCAGTCAGTCCAAGGAAACAGAATCAGGTAGGCCAGGAAGAGGATTTCAACTTGAGTTTCATAGGAGGAGATATGCCATCAAACTCCATTACGATCAAGGATCAGAAAGAGCCTTTAGCAGGAACCACAGCTTTTAGTTTAAGGCCCCTTTGGGGTGCCAGTGTCCTGATGGTGTCCCTTTAATCCACTCTAGATCTGGTTAACAAATTCTCAGTACTTTTATTCCCTTTTCCATTTTTTTTTGGTACCAGGGATCGAACTTGGGACCTTGAGCTTGCAAGGGAGGCGGCGGAACCACTGAGCTAAATCCCTGGCCCTCTTTTATTTCCTTTTAAAATTATACAGTCACAGGATTATTACAGTGCTGTAATCCCAGCACTTGGGAGGCTAAGGTAGGAGGATCGTTGCATGTTAGAGGCCAACCTGAACTATATAGCAAGACCCTGTCTCGAAAAACAACAAAACAAAATAAAAAACCAACAAAAACTATACAGATGGAAGATCCTCTGCTAAAGGTTAGAGGCTAGGGTATACTGTGTAATATTGGCACAAAACTTATTTTTTAAAATGTCTGAATTGGCATAGCATTTTGAAGGCTGCTGGAATTGTAATAAAGGTTCATCTTTAGCAAATGCTGATGGCGTACCAAGGCCCAGCACATTACGTGCATTATTCTGAAGAATTCCTCAACATCTTATGTTCTGGGAATTGTTATTATATCAATTTTAAAGAGAAAGATGCAAGAGGCTTGAAGTGAAGTAACTTTCAGTCACTACTTAGTAGTACTGCTAATAAATGGCAGAGCCTGGACTCATTGCAATCCCAGGACTCTACGGCCCCTCGAACTTGGCCTTTAACCAGTGGCAAGACCCTTAAATGGCCCTATGTCTTGGTCACGAGGCCTAGAAACTTCTTTTGGACTTTTGCAGTAAGTTTCATTATTGCTAATGCTTTGCCATGTCAGTGGGTTATAATGGAAGCTGCTAGTAGATAAGAGGGCTGGCCTGAGGGAAGCTTATTTAACAAATACTCCCTAGAGCAGCATCCGGTGGTTCCAGATGGAAGAGTGGGATCAGAAGAATTCTTCCTTTACCAACACCGCTACTTCAAAGAGCCACCTGGACAAGGTGCTGATGTCCTGCCCTGTCTGGTAGAGCTAGTTGCCTTGCACCGCAATTTAAGTGGTTAGCCTGGAGCCAGTTACTGGGAGACAGGATGACTGGACTCACGTAAACATTCCTAAGAGGGAGGCTATAGTCAGGAATGGGTAGACAAGTCTGATGGGAAAGAGGTTCTCAGCCCTGCCTCTTAGGTTGGCCCTGTGGGGACCTCCAAAACCAAATGGAACTGGAAGACACTGGTCCCTAGCAACCAGCACAAGATATCAAAACTTTCTGAATTAATGATGCCACTTTAGAATGGAATTTTTTCTTTGGTTTTTAATTTCTTTCAGGGCTTCTGAAGTAGTATGAAGCCCTCCCAATAGGATGCTAGGGCAGGTCCACTGCAATCAAAGTGGATGGGGAGGGAGGGGGAGAGCACCCAGGAATTACTGCATTACTCCTTATAGGGAGAGCTGTACCAGAGGAATACAGCAGAGCAGATGCTCAATAAAAACTTCCTGTGTTTTCCTGAAAAACAGTCTGAGAAATGCGTGGCTGGGTCCTCTTGGCTTTACCCCAGCTGTAGATTGTACTATCTATAGCAAAACCTTTTGGCAGGGTGGCAAGAATGGATCCACAGCTGCCACTTAAAGCCTAGAATTTAAACACAGAGCAACTCGGCAGCCAAATGTTGGGATGAAACAGAAGCTCAGTTTCTGAACAGAACACATCTTTGAAGCCAGACATATTTAGCCAGAATTCTAAACTCACCCACCCTATTCACCACTGATTAACCAACAGCCAAAGAATCAGCTTGATCCAGGCACCCATGTGGAGACTCTGAGCATACATGTGACTAACACAACAACCAAAAAGCCACTCTCCTTCTCACTCCAGAGATGAAGAGTTTATTAGCAAAAGCCCACTGCTTCTCAGTGGCATTTTCTTGCCTGGTGTTCCTACAATTCACATACCAGATGCAAATTCTCCTTTGGCAGTTTCCACGTCTCTGCAGGAATGAGAGACTGCTTTTTCCATGCCCATATTCTGGAGGGGCCATATCCAACTGAGTAGTGAGATTGTGTCAGTCCAGGGATACGCAAGTTGTCTCTAGGCATCCACATGTGAGCTCACCTTTTAACCAATGATGTCTAAGTACAAATGTCTCTGTCAAAGGCAGATTCCTGACAAACTATCTCTCTTCCCGGTACATATACATATGTAGAAATACTATGCTACAGAAAATTTTTAAAGAGAAGAAAATCACCAGGCCAGGTTCTTCTCTCCTTTTCACTGTTCAACTCAACTGACTTCTTCAACCTCAGAATGTGGGAACAAGCTTTTCTAGCTGTCACAGTCCCTCTATAGGAAATGATCTTCCTCTACAAATGGTATACAATACATGTCTTGATATGTAGGACAAAGGGTCATCTGTCTTTTTTTTTTTGGTACCAGGGATTGAACTCAGGACCTTGTGCTTGCAAGGCAGGTGTGGTGCAACTGAGCCAAATCCCTGGCCCTGGGTCATCTGTCTTTTAAACTTGTGTATGACCCACTTGTGGAACTCCCTAGGCTTGTAGGCTGCTTTCCTCTTGCCTATTCTTCATAGAGAAAAGTCATTTTTGTGGCAAAGACTATGTAAGGCAGGTCTTTAGTTAAAGTGACTGAAGAACAATTATTGGATTGAAGGAGCCCAGAAGGCACATGGAAGTTCACCTGATTTAATCTTAACTGGTCTGACCAGCAGGCTAACTTTAGCCTTTTGCTCAAACCCTTGCAGATATAAGTGAATTCATATTTATTTATTTGTTTGTTTATTTTCCAGTGCTGGGGATCAAATCCAGGGCCTCACACATGCTAGGCAAGCATTCTACCACTGAGCTACCCACCCAGCCACAATAACATTCAGTTTGTTCAGGTGCGGTGGTGCATGCCTGTAACCCTAGCTACTTGGGAGGCCAAAGCAGGATGATCACAAATTCAAGGCCAGCCTGAGCAATTAGGAAGACCTTGTCTCAAAAAGGAGTGGGAAGAATCTTTTGGGGATAAAGCTCAGTACTCCATGGGTTTAGTCTCTGGTACTCCATTAAAAAAAAAAAAAAATCAGTTATTTGAGCAAATGTTATTTAGGACAAATGATGACACAGAGCCTCTGAATACTGATTCCAATGTCCCAACACAGGGTCTCGATATGTAGTTCAGGCTGACCTTGAACTCACAGCAATCCTCCTGCCTCAGCCTCCTGAGTGCTGGTATTACAGGCATGCACCACCATGCCCGGCTGGTCTTTTACATTTCTGCCCCAAGAAATGAGACCAGGGGTAGCAACTCCTCCTCTTCTGATAAATCACTACAACTGTTTTCCAAGTACCCAGTGTAGGTTGGACCACAGCTTTGTCTTCTTGAAGGAATGACCTCCTGCTTTGATTGTGGAACCCAAAGATGTTTAGCCTGTGATCCAGATCTGATGTTGGTTTTACCCTTCTGGATTCTCCACCCCCATCACACAGTTTATGGCTGTTGCCCAAGTCCTCTTTTTTTTTTTTTTTCCAAGTCCTCTTTATCAGTTCTCAGGGGAAAAAAAAATCCTGATATACAACAGTTATTGACTTTGCCACATCAGCTCTCTCCTAAATGGGTCAACTTTCCCAGTTGTTCTCTGCTGCTAATCAGCTCTTCTTTTCTCCTGAGCTGGGTTCCCAGAGCCCTAGGTCCCCTGTCCAGTTCTTGCCCTATTCTGCCATCTGGGGTAGGCTTTCTAGGTTTTGTCATTAGTGTCCTTCTCTACTGTTATTGGTTCTCAGCCTCTGGTCTTTGGCCCCAGTTCTGAGACTTGGAACTTGAACACTAAAAACTTGACAAAAGACCTGCTATTGACACATTACAGAGGGTTTAGAGTTATTTGTCAGGAAGCCAGGTCAGGATGAAGGAAGAAAACAAACCAGTTTTTTCTACGGCTGGGACAGCCCCAGTACAGGCCATCCTGATAACTCTTTATGCACGTACAACCCCACTGCTTATTGCCCGGAGGAAGTTCCCACCAGAAATGGGATGTGACATGTCAGGAAACAGGACACATAGCTTAAGCAGCTAAAATTACCATTGCTCGTTTCACAGCAGGTTTCCGGGTGGAACAAGCATCAACATTCAGTGGCCTTCATGAAAACCCCCAAGGTGTGCAGTCCCGAGGAGGCACCCAATTCTAGGATGCCAGGAACACCCAGGTATTCGTGATCTCCCTCCACCAAGAACCTCAGGGCACATGGAAACAGCACAGGCACCCAGTGAGTCCAGCCAAGGCCTGTAGGGACACTGTGACTTGTCTAAAACAGTCTCAGCAAACAGCATCTTTTCTACCATCAGTACAAAATGTAAGGGTTGGGCTTTGTGGGTTCAGAGAACTCCGACCTACCTTGTCTCCTGGGATCCTCACAACAACCCTCTGACATGAGAAAAGAGGGTGTTCTTAACCCCATTTGAGAGAAAAAACTGAGGCTTAGAAAGGGGAAGGGAGAGCTCAAGGCCACACAGTGAAGGGCTAAGACTGAAACCAGGGTCCTTTGACTCCTGGTTCAGTGTTCAGTCCACTGAACCACACCTCAGACTCTCAGCAATGTTGGGACAAGAGCACCTCAGGAGATAAGGACATCCCAGCAACACCCCCGCCTGGCCAAAGCAAGCGCACCATGCAGAAGCATTGTCACATTCACATTGACAGCTACCCCAACCTCCTTCAGCACAGATACGGAGCAATCCTTCCCCACTGACACTGCTTGCAAAACACAAACTTCCACCAATTCCAACGGCCAACTAGACCCAGCAGATCCTCAGGGACAAGACTGCCTTCATCTATCACAACACTGCCACCACCACTAGATGCAACCTAGGCCAACCTCTTCATCAAGCACACTGTCCTGCTCAGAGCATCTTCCACCTCCTCTCTTGTCAAGGTCACAATCTAATTGAATTTGGGATCTCTTCTGACCATTTGTGCTAGGAAGTTTCTGCCTCTCCACACTCGACCTCCTTCCCTGGCAGCTGAACTGCATGTGCCAGTGAACCAGCCAGCAAAAGCTTTGAAGTAGGACCCCTTTTTATGGCACTTCGGAACCTAATGACTCCCCCAGCAACCATAATAGTTCAGCACTGTTTGCAAAACACATCCATCCTGCCATTGAAGTAGCAGCTATGTTTGGGCCCATGCCTGGGAATCACCTCTGTTGGTCTCCTGGGACCTCCCATTCCAAGCACTCCAAGCTTCTTGGGAAGGAAGGGATGGCAAACAGCTAGCTGGGTTGATGAAAACATTTGTCTTTCAGTGAGAAAGAAGGCTGTGCAGAGTGTAGTTGGAGGCAGGGTGGTCAAGACACCCTTGGGCTTCCGACACAAGCTCGGGCTCCTCCTCTGGAAATGAGGAAATAATGAGGAGATTACCTCGATTACAAATACTGCAGAAGTTGCTGGGCCCCTCGCTGTGCTTCTTCAGGTGGTCTGCCATGTATGCTGCCCGCAAATACTTCCCACACACCTGGCAGGGCACCTTGTCTTCATGACAGGCTAGATGGGATCGCAGACGGTCTCGTGTAGCAAAAGAAGCATTGCAGGTCTGAGGGCAGAAAGGAAAATAAGATGAGGTGAAACCTAGTATTCCATACTTGACCAAGTATACTGTGCAACAAAAATAGCTCCTACCCACTGTATGACTCCCTTAGAAGTAAAAAAGAGCTGTGGAGTTTGGCTCAGGGTCTTTACCCAGAATGCCAAGTGGCTACTCTTATTTCCTGAGATGCCTCCTCACAGGACACCTGAGTTGGAATTACTAGTTCTTTACCATAGACATGCCTAGGACATGGCAAGCTGAATTCTATGTCCTTCTACAAAGCAAGGAGTTAAATATTTATTCATCCTTAACCATTAAGCATTGACTTTAGGTACACAGGCTGTAAATGAATTACAGGCGAGTTACTAGCATATAAACCAGTCTTCCTGTTCTCCACACTGGGGTTTTCCTTCATTGCTCTATACAAAGAATTCAATTTATTCATTTTAGTCAAAAGGGACATTAGTCTTGGTCTCAGGGAAACTGAAAGGCAGGACAAAGCACAGAGGTAATTCCTTGTAATATTTTCAATTTAAATTGAAAAAGCAGTCTATAAAATGATAGTGCCAATTCTGCTAATATGAGAATTGGCAGAAAGAATGAGCCAAGGGAGGACCCGAGGCTTCAAGAGTATTTGTGAAATGTTGAGGTGGGGAGGTGCCAGCAGTAACAAGAATGAAGATAACCAGCCACTGACTGAGCAAGCCCTGCCCTTAAACTGTTCAAAGCATTTGTCTCACATCGCCCACCCTGATAGCAGTTTCCCAAGGCACACTGTGTGACCACCTCCAGAAGCACACAGCCATGGAAAACCAATTTACAGCGTAGAGTCAAGTGACTGAGGAGTTGAAGGTTAGCACTTGTGCCCTGGGAACAAGGACACAGGTCACCAGGCATCTCCTCAGATTTGAGGACCTAACTTTATACCAGGCATTCTCTCTCCCCAGTATCCTTTCCTCTGCTGGGTATGCAAAGGATAACAGAAGGCCTGAGAGAGGTGAATCCAGTAACTTTCATATTATTTTGGCTCCATGTAGATGCTTCAGGGGTTCTGGTCAGGTTTGATACATTTCTTTTCCCTGTGTGTGCATGTGTGTGTTTACTGTTTCAGAACTGTGAGAAAGCAACATTCACCTTTAAGGCCACTACAGAGTATCTGTTAACTCACTAAAGAACTCCACCCCATTAACTTGCTAGAATGGAGCTGCCTCTATTGTCTGTTTAGAAGTGGCTTCTGAGAACCTGAGATCTTGAGGTAAGTGTCTGAACAATGTCACCACATACAGATGTTTATCCATCTCCTTACTGTACAAAGCAAGAAGCAAACACATGCAGGGATGTGGACGTAGAAGAGGCCACCATTTACTACCCATTCCAAATATCTGCACTAAAAGCCTTGCTGCTTCTAGTCATTGTCATTTTTTAAGCAAATGTTAGCAATTTGGAACAATTTATACTAGTGAAACTGCATTTTTTGTGTGTGCTCTTTTGATTAACAAGGAAGCGAACTTCAAAAACTGAACTTGCCTAAAGGACAAGACTCAGCTACTAGACAGTAGCAGTCTAAATACCCTCCCCATAGCCAGGCCAGTACTCCACCAGTCTCAGCGTCCCTGACATCTTATCTTCCCCAACTAAGAGGACACAGCAGAGCTGTGATGTGAACTAGCCCAAAGCCCAAAGCGCTCTAACCATCTCCAGATTCAGGAGATAGGATCTTGTGAATGAAAGCTATTGACACTTATTAATATAGTATACTTGGTACATGGGTTTCCCTGGTAGGGATGGATTTGTGCACAGATTTCCAGCACTGAGGTGACTCAGAAAGCACCCTGGATACTTGGTCTCATAGACACAGGGGTCCCCACCTCAATGGTCTCAGAAATCTGGGAACCTGATGATGGGCAACACGTTTGAGAAGAAACAGCCCATTTATCCAGGAACAGGAGCTGGCTTTGCCAGGCAATGACCCGAGGACCACACTTTCAATGGTGAGAGGGAATGTGTTCTGAGCCTTACAAGTGGGAAGAACCAGTATGGACCAGGTATAAGAAAATGGAACTGAAAGCATACACACAAAGTTCTGTCTTCCATAGTCCCTGGGAGAGGGAGCCACTAGAGGGCTATGAAAGAGATGCCTTGTTTCTCTTGCCAGCCTTCTTTTGGGATTTCTCCTCTAAAGGCTTTGCCTGTCATGCTTTGCTGCCTAAAGATGAGGGGCAGCCAACCCTCAATTACCCACAAGTGGATTATCTGTATGAGGATTAACTAAACAAAATTAAAATCCCAGACTGAGCTGGCTTCCCCCACCCCATCCTCCACTGATTATTTCTCAAGGAATGAAAACTAACTTTGGCCTGAGCAAGCTTAATTAGTAATGTAAATCTACTGCTGGGGCTAAAACCCACACATACACAACAAAAACTTTCACTGTGTTACAAAACTAAAGTCAAAGTGATTGTTGGTTTCTCTGTGCCAGGAAGGACTCTCTGTGGCTGGAGCCCCCAGGATTTTCTGGGGGAAACTGTGGAAGTATGAGTCCAAGTCTAGGCCTGCTAGAAGCTCAGAGAACACAGAATGTGAAAAAGGCCATACGACCCAGGAGAGAAGTGGCTGAGGGAGAGAAAGATCTCAAAGGGCACATCCAGAACCTCCATGTTGGGTCCACTCAGGAGAAAAGCATTCCCTGTCCTGGAGACAGGAAGAAGACAGGAATCTTGATGAGAAAACAGCCATGCAGCTGCAGAATGCTGACTGCTTATGCTTGAGCAGCCTACCATTGTTAGAAGGCACACCTGCCAGGTCCTGGTCCGGCCCTCCTGAGTTTAGGTCATCATCACTCAACACTGAGTCAGTCCTGCTTGCCTCCCACATTTCCTAAAGCTTTGCTTCCTGACATCAAGTAGCTTGGGAATGGGGGGGTGGCCCAAATGGTACTAAGGATGCTAGTGCATATCCCTAAGCCTGGTGATCTTCAAAGTCTGGTAGCCTCAGGGGGCATTTTGAGCAGCCCAGGAAAATCTAAGGGCAATGCATGGAGATCTAGCTCCATAAGCCTTGTTAGCCCCCTTTTTGAGTGTACCCCAATTCTTCTGTAACCAGCCTGAGAAATGGGGTTGTTGGAAGCAACAGAAGATCTGAGCTGCTCTTGCCTCTCAGCTTCAGGCTGAACTCCACCTAGGGAAATGTCCTTACCCACATAAATCCAGCAGTGCCTGGGACATATGGGTAGTTAAGGAACTCAGACCAAGGCTCACATTCCATGCCTCTACCTTCCGGTGGCCTTTGCCCCTAAGCTGTGGCACCAGTCTCTGTTAATTGGCTCCTTTCATCCTGTGCAGCATCAGGAGTAGCTCAGCCGGTGGAGACACAAGGAACCCTCCCAGAGAGCTGTCTCTTCACCTCTGATGCTCTCAGCATACCACATCATGACAAACAGGTGACCCTGCTGTTTAACCAAGCTCAGGTGTACCTGGCTAGCCAGCTCAGAGCCTGAGAGCCAGCATGTCTTCACCTGCTGGGTCCTTATTAAGGGATACCTGGCTACAAGGCTAAACACAGACCAGCAGATCTGGGAGAGTGTGTGCTGAAGGGGCAGGGCAGGAGTGGACTTGTACACCAAGGGACAACGATGTCAGTGTTATGACACAGACCAAGGACAAAACACACAAAGCCTCAAAAGTTAGAATGAAAACTTTATCATCACTCCTGTTCTCCCTGCGGAGTCTGCAGGGGGCTAAGGGACACACCAGTGGGATCTGGAAGTTCTACATCTGTTTTATCAGCTCCTAAAGCCATATATTGGGGTGGCCCAATACAAAGCCACATGTTAGTTCCTGAGCAGACCAGCTAAAAAACCTTAAAAACATGAAAGTCTAATTCATTGCCAGAAACAAAAGCAGGACCTGTCTGAGCAGGAAGGGAAGAGGGCAGCACAGGTGACCCTAGTTGGAATTGTGCCAGAGGCTTTTCTGGAGGCAGATTCAATCCCAGAGTGGGAGGAGGGGTAGCCAGATCCTATTCTAGAGATCCCATGCCTTATGGGAAATGATGCCAGGGGAGGGGAAACAGAGAAGCTGGTGACTTAGTTCTGGGAATGCACCGACCTCCAAAACCACCCGGGCAAAGACAGATGCCCAGGGGTGCCACCTCTTGGGGGGGTGGGGTAGAGAGCCCAGAAAGAAACTTGTAGGCTATAAGGGGAATCCAGAAAGGTCCTCCTTCCTACTATTATCTGGGAGCCCTGAGCAGAAAAAGCTCCAAGTCATCCCTAGAACAACTGAGATGGAGAGTGGGCAGGAACCACCTTGCTGGCCTCTCCCAAAAGCAGGGGTCTCAGGCTAGCCACTACTCATTTCCTCTACCATAAACCCTTTCCAGGGAGGCCACTGCTAGCCTATAGGCCACTGGGTGAAGGCCCGGCTGCCCTCTGGGGCAGTCCAGCCCTGCCTTAGATATCCTGCTGGGGCTGGGCAGAAGAGAGTGTTGCTGGAGTGTGCTGGAGCCAGGTTTTCAAGGGCTGGGAATGACTTTTTTAGAGAAAGGGAAAAGGCGGTGTCAGGAACCGAATGGGACGACCTCCACAAAGCAGGCTGGGCAAAGTCCCATGATGGCAGGTCGCTAGGAAGAGGTTCCAGGGGCGGCAGGCCGCTGCTGCTCCCAACCCACACCTGGAAAAAGGGCAGAGAGTGCAGGTTACCCACCCAGGCCACCGGGCATGTCCCCAGTGCCCTCTGGGCTCCTCCTATCCTGCCTGGGCTACTCAGCACACTACCTGGGAGAGTCAGAATGTGCTGTGATGAGAAAATCAAGAGACAGAGAGAGAGAAGGCAGCAGGCAGAGACAGATCCCAGCAGGCCCACCCTGGGTCACCCTCCTTGGGGAAGGCTTGCCTTGTCTGGGAACACTGTCCACACCTGGTCCTGGGCTCTTTGCCCTACCACAGTGCATCCGCCCCTCCCTACAGGTGCCCAGGAACCCTCCCCCTCTGCAACCAATTAGCAACCAAGAAGAAGGAGCTTGTCCCTGCTAGAGTTTGTGGTGCTCGCCCTACAACGTTATCTTGCCCTCAGGAATAGTCAGCAGGAACTTGGCACAGCAGAGGGCTGTCAACCAAGGAGAAGAAAGAGGTGTGTTTTCCATCCACACAGAAATGGTCAGTGGCCAGGAAAGGAAACTCAATTTTCTGAGTGCCAGCAGTACCCCTAAATACTGTTCAAGCAGATACAGGTGAGAATCTTACCCAGCCTTCCCTACCTCCTACTCTTATAGAGCTCAGGGGAAGGGAAGACCCTAGCTCACCAGTCCTCCAAAAACCCTGGCTGTTTGTACACATGGCTCAGGAGAGGTTAGGGTGCCAGTACTCAGAGACAAGACCACCCACTCCCTACTTCCTGCCTCCCTACTGCCTTGCCTCAACTGAGAGGACCCAGAAAGAGCCCCGTAGCAGCCAGATAAAGGGAAGACTTACTGGCTTGGTCACCAGGACCCCTTTCAAAACCCCAGCAATCCCTACAAACTGCTGGGAACCAGCAGCCTGGCCCAGCGAGGTGCCAGATCCCCCAGGACAACACCTGTGTAATGGTGGCCCACCAATCAAGGAGCCAACGAACACCAGGAGAAGAAAGCCAAGCAACAGAGTGAAGATGAAGACAGGGTGGAAACCAGGACCAAGCAACCAGGAAGGAGGGAACATCAGCCAGGGGGCTAAGGAGGACTGAGATAAAGAACAAAGGAGGGAACAGGAAGGGTAGAGGGACAGAGCAGGGAGGTGTGCAAAGCAGTGGTCAGTCAGCCGGCCCCAGCACACACAGCAGCTGGCTCATGAGCCCAGCTGTGAGAATAGCAACATTCTCCTTCCTCCCATCTTTCCCCTGGCCCAACCCCTACCTGACACTTGTGAGGCCGCTCAGAAGTGTGCACCTGCTTGATATGTCCATTCAAGTGATCAGGCCTGGAAAAGAGAAACCCAAGAAGGACTTTAAAACAAGGTATCAGCCAGGCATGGTGATAAATGCCTGTAATCCCAGCACTTCGGAGGCTGAAGCAGGAGGATTGCCGAGTTTGAAGCCAGCATGGACTACACTGTGAGCTGAAGGCCAGCCCGAACTACGTAGCAAGATCCTGTCTCAAAAAAACCAAAACCAAAACAAGGTAACAAGATGGGACACAAACTTGGCTGATCCCATCACACCACTTCCACTGCTGGAGAGGATTCCTCTTCCCCACATCAGTATGACAAAGACAAAGTCACTATCCTGCTCTGGCTCCACAGGCCCACGCTTCTCTACCCTGGTTTTCTCTGCAGGGGAAAGGGAACATTTGTCTCTGATCTTGCCTACATTTTCCCCACCCCTCCTAGCAATTCCCCCTAACAGAAACTCAATAATTTCTTCGACCGGAGGCTGCAGCTTTAAAATGAAACAGGGATGCCTTGCTGCAGTCTTTCCCGGGGGGGGTGGGGGGGGTGGGTGATTCATTGTCCAGACTAAAGCCCCTTAGAAACTCTGTGTTCCCCTCCCCCAGCCTCTCCCGCCAGAGCAGCCAATGAATGCCACCCAGATGGAATTCAGTCCCCAGAGGCCATCGATGGAGCCTTAAGTCCCCAGCTGGGCTGGTAAGCCAGATGCCCGCCAGAGCAGGTGGGCAGGGGCTGCCTGACCGGTAAGACTGGTTCCTGTGGGGCCCCTCTGAGGGAGTTCAGCGTCCCTAGGTTCACACACATGGTCTTCAGGATTCAAGTTAAAATCAGCCTTCTAGTCGGACTATTCTCTAACAGAAAAACAAAACAGCCTTCTGCGTACAGACAACTCCTCAGTTCATCAGGCTCACTAGAAAGTGAGTCTAAAAAGAGGTCCTGCGTTCCTCCTCTTCGGTCCGGAGAGGATATGGAGTCTGTGGGAGTCTGTGGGTTCTTAGGCTCTAGACCAGCCAGGTGGAGCAGATAAAAGGTTATGTATGGCATTACAAGGCACCTCTGGGTGCCTGGCTCCGAGTCTCTGGATCCCAGGGTCGTGTGAGGTGCAAAGCTAGAGCCCACTGATCCAGAGTCCCTCGTGCTCTGTGCTAGAGGGTCTGGTGCCTCCGGAGTGTAAGGAGTCCCAGATGCACTTGTTCCAGTCCCTCCCTCAACAGCCATTCGAGAGGAGGAAAGTCGAGGGAGGAGCCCAGCCTCCTGCCCCAAAAGGGGGCCCCACGCCTGGTGCCAGAAACACAAAGGGAGCCTAGGGAGAAGAATGGCGAGGCCTGGTGGCTCTGGCCTGAGAAATCCAGTCCCTTCCCACAAGCCCCAAGGAGAGCCAGTAGTGCCAAAGAACTTGCCTGAAGGAAGAGAAAGCAGCTCTTGGCCACACCACCTCAAAATCAGGGCCCTTAAAACACTTTCCTGAACCTGGCATGGACCTGTAAGAGCTAGTGACCCTTCCCCCAACAAGTCCCACCTTCCCAGGTCTGGGAACTGTCTCCTGAGCCAGGACTAAGGCAGGTCGGGGGAGGGGTTCCCTTCTCACCTGGAGAAGCCTTTCCCACAGCTCTGGCAGATGTAGGGCTTGCCCACAGACCCATCATGGGACCGCACATGGTAGGACATTCGGTCTTTTCTCTTGAACCGCAGTCCACACACGGGGCAGGAATAGGGCTTCTCCCCAGAGTGGGACAGCTTGTGCCGGTTGAGATGGTACACGTCTCGGAAGATCTTGCCGCAGATCTCACAAGCCACCTGCTTCCTGGTCCGGCTCCTCTTTCGGGGGCCATCGGGGTCCTCAGAGATGGGTAGCCCATTCTCACCCAGCCTTGGAGGAGGAAGATCGATGTAGCCCAGCTGGAGGCTGGTGACACCATGCTGGGCCTCATGCTGCCGGAGCCGGTTGGCATCAGTAAACACCTTCCCACACAGGCCACAGGGAAGGATGCCCGCTTCCCTCAGGCCCCCAGGGGACCCTAACATTGAGTCCAGCAGGTTGGCCTTTCTTGGGCGACCCCGGCCTCGTTTGCCAGTTAGTGGAGGAGTGCTGGATGCCACATTAGGGAATGGGGAAGTCAGCAGTTGAGGGGACAAGGGTCCAGCCACCATGGGCAAACGGTCCACCCCGGGTAACACAGGCAAGGAGGCTTGGCTCGAAATGGCTGCACCAGCCGCTCGGGCAGCTTCCTCTTCAGGCTGCATGCTGCCTGCGATGCCATTGCTGTTGGCAGCCAAGGCTGCCCCGTTGGTCATGTCCAAAGGGAAACCCAAGTCAGAAGTCCCAGGGGGCCGAAAGAGCATGATGTCTGCCCGGGCAGGCGGCACCAAGATCTGCACGTTAGACTGCTTGATGACTTCCTGGCAGATCTCGATGACCGATCTCATTAGCAGGAACTTGGCGGCAGTCATGAGCTCAGGGAAGCTCTCCAGGCGGACCACGATGCGGGAAGTGTAGGCGAAGTCCAGAATGTCTCCAAACACCTTGGAGCTGATGGTGTGCATCTCAAGCTCTCGGCTGCCCCCGGCCCCGCCGCCCGGGGCTGCTGACGCGCCCCCCACATCAGAGGGACCCCCGTCGGCAGCTCCGCCATCGCCCAACTGGGCGCTGAACACAGACTCAAAGTACTCGCTGCAGGCGGCCAGCACTGCGCGGTGAGCTGGGAAGCTCTCATCGCCCACCCGCAGGAGCACGTCACAGAAGCGCCCGCCGTTTTTGCGCTGCTGGTTCAGATTGTGCAGCATCTCCGTACTGTGTCTGCTCACCTGGTAGGTGTAGCAGCCCGACGGGCCGCAGGAAGCGTCGTTTACCCGCTCCATGGCCGCCGCCCCCTCCCCACTGGCCGGGCCGCGGCGCCCGCCCGCTCCCTCCCTTCCCCTAGGCAGCGAGAAGCGGGGCGCAGCGGACGTGTCCACACTCTCCACACGTGCCGGCCCGGGGCTCTGTAGTCTCGCAGGTGCGCCCAGCGCACACGCCCCCTGCCCGGATCGGAATGTCTAGACTGCTGAGTGCACCTCCACCCACATAGCTGCCCCCACCCACGCTGGATCGCGCACGGCTCTCTTCTCTCAGCCTGCCCACCTCCCCTTCTCCTTCTACCTTCCGGGGGGGGGGGTGCGCGAGCAAAGAGGTGCGCCCCTCGTGCAAACGCGCCTGCCACCTCCCCTCCCGCTCGCTAGGCGGCGCCGGCGCGCAGCCAAGAGGAGCGCGCGCACGTGGGGAGGAGGGGTCCTCCGCGCAGGCGCGCGCGCGCGCTCCGCGGCTTTTCCCGGGCCCGCTGGGGGCGCGCGCTGCGTCCCCTGCAAAGCGCGAGCCGGGGCGGGGGCGCTGAAGCAGACGAAACAAAAGGCTAAGGCGGCGGCGGCGGGGCGCGCAGGGGGGCGGTGGCACGGGCCCGGTCCCGGAGTCTGGCAGCGGCGGCAGCTGAAGCAAGCGGGCGGCGGCGGCAGCAGAGTGGGCCCTTCCCCGAGCCAGGCGCAGGCGGCGGCGGAGCGGCGGCGCTGCGGCCCCGGGCTCCGTGTGTTCGGAGCGGAGGAAAGATGGCAGCGGCTGCACTTCCTCTTGCACTTTCACCCCTGGGGGGAGGAGAAGGAGGGGGCGATACCAACAACACCCCCC